GGGGGGCGGATATCGACTTCAGACAACCTTTGACCCTTTGCTGACGTCACACGTGGGAAGAATCACGTGTCCACAGCATTTGGGTCAGATAGCTGAGGAAGATTCAGTCGAAAATTTCTGGTGAGTCAAATCTTGAGTTGGAGAAAAGTTTAAGTTTTTCATAATGTAATTTATCAACTCAGATGAACTTTCATGCTGACATCAATACAAGTAGAGCTGATCACTGTAATGGTACGAGAATTATTCAAAATGTAGTTGTAGGAATTCAATAAGGTTTAATTGTTTTTGGCTTAAATGGCTCTGTTGCTTAATGCAATGCCAATTTGCACCCCATCGTCAGATTTTGATGAAATTCATGTTGTTATTATGTTAGATAAAACCATACTTTCTTTAAATCCAGGTTTTGTGGATGTCTCGTGGACGATTCTCGTGCAACCAAGTACTCGACAGGAACGTCGTCGTCAAACCCAACTGATCTGAATACGGACTACAACTCGCGGGGACAGCTGAGAGGCAATGGGGTACCCTAGCCGCGGCGACTGTTGCAGGGCTTCTCTTGCTTGCAGTCTTTTACATTAGCCCTAACAACAGTCGCGGAGCGGTGCATTGGGCCAAATGAACAAACATGCGTTTTACCGTGCCGGAACACTTTGAGACCGAAGTTTGCACATCCCTAGATTCCTAACAGCCTCACCTAACGTGCCGGGGTGTTTTGCGCGTCAACCGGCCCCTGCGCGGCTCGTACCGCCACTATTTGCGATCGCTCCCCATGTATTTATAAGCCGAGTGGCCGCCATCTTGGTCAGCCGCGCTCTGAATCAGCTACTTGCAAATGTGCCGCTACTTTTCTGATCCATAGAAATAGCCTATCAAAAAAATAGCGGCAAATTTGCCGGCGGCTGATTCCAATCAAAAATGGCGGCCAACTGTATGTTTTACGTGGGGAGCGATCGCAAATAGTGGCGGTACGAGTCGCGCAGGGGCCGGTTGACGCGCAAAACACCCCGGCACGTTAGGTGAGGCTGTTAGGAATCTAGGGATGTGCAAACTTCGGTCTCAAAGTGTTCCGGCACGGTAAAACGCATGTTTGTTCATTTGGCCCAATGCACCACTCCGCGACTGTTGTTAGGGCTACTGTAAAAGACTGCAAGCAAGAGAAGCCCTGCAACAGTCGCCGCGGCTATGGGGTACCCATGAAAACGTATTCGGAATAGTCTGTGTTAAAAGTAATTTTGTCACAAATACATACAACACAGACGGAAATAAAACACTTCCTAAATTACATCCAATCATAATGGGTATCATTCAATGAACAAGGTTTAAGACGTTGGTACAAAACATAAACAGCGTATTAAAACAAGTTTTAAGATTTATTCTTCCAGTTAATGATTCAGGTCGCCATTGTAATCAAGTATCCCTCCACCGGCACTCCAAATCATTTTACAAGCCTAAGGACACACACACACAAAAGTATGATAAATTTCAACTGTATGTAATAATGAATCTATGATTGTGCACGTATTGCCTTCCCAAAGACCTTTTTCAGTAAAAATCTATATTTTAATTATGCTAAGTAACAGGAACTTAATACTAAGTAAAGACTATACCTTCGACAGGAATTAATAGATTCGATCCGCGAAAACCATTTACTAATTCACATAACTAAATGAGAAAATTGCATAATACCCCAGATTATCCATACTACACATAAAGGATAAAGTTATCACTAGATATAAATAGTTAAAATCTTGACATTGTCTTTATTAGTAAAGAGAAGACACTTTTTTTATAATTTTTGAAGAAGGAAGTTCATAATTTGAGTCTAACCAGACATAAGAGTATGTAGTTTTTTTAAAGAGGAGATAAAGAGACATATTTATGTAATTAATGAGGTCCAAGGCTATAGTATAGATTTATTATGTATGCAAGCTAGTTAGAAATTAGCATTTGTACTTTAAATATTATACACGTCAAACTATTTACACAGATGATATTTTAACGGCGTTTTAAAAGTAGGTAGCTCTAATTTAACTAAACGACAACTTTTACTTTATTTGAATTGTCAGATGATTTTGAAAGGCCAATTCTAAAAGAATTGGCATCGATTTTAGGGTTCAGCCAAATGTTTTGAAATAGAATGTTTTACGTTATATATCCCGTATATAAAAACAACAATCTTGATTTTATCAAACGTCTTTATTATACGTTTTGTTTTAAAAAGTTTTGTCCTTGGGAACGTTGTTCAATCTCATCCACATTTAAATCAGTTGAGTCTGAGTGTACGTATAATGGGAAAAAAACTAATTCACCCCTTACAGCAACATTAGTAGAGCTTCTGGTATATTACGGAATTTTAGGATAACACATTCTAGATCGAAAATCTAGTACGATATTGAAGGTTGGACTGTCGTTATGTCTTATGTCTACGTATCTAACTTGTCGCTGTATGTGCAGCTTAAGACATACAGGCACTAGGGAAATAATGAAAGTGATTTACATTTACATTTTGCTGTTGCATAATCTCTAAACAGTTGTGTATTCCCTATTTCTAACTCGAATCACTTGATCGTGTGAGTTAGCCAAATGACGCGTGTAAAATGTAATCCGTATATTATTGTGAATCTTTTAGCTTTTTAGGGGTAAGGGGTAAAAATACATAAAACTGATAAGAATTCAAATTTTCTTAAATACTGCCTTTAAATATTCACGCATATCACATTGTTTAGTCTTTCCACTGGGGTAGTAGTATAAATAGGAGGACTTAATAAAGGGTCAATGCCCTGCCCTGGGGTGTATATGGTGAGATACTCCCTGGTCAAATGCGATAACCACCAAATAAACCACCAAATGAGCGTAGCGGTTTATTCGAGGGATCATTTCACAATATACATGTGCACCGGTGATAAGGTGGGGCGTTAACGTTATCATTTCCATTAAAATGAAACGTCTTGCTCGCCCGCTGCGAAGAGAGCCTTAAACGGATCAAATAATGGCATCTATTTAAGCGGTGACAGACATCGGCACACAGACTTACTAACAATTCAGCATTAAAACTCTAAATGTGTTCAATTTCTACCAAAGTAGAAACTGGGAATATAGTAACGGGTATATATATAAAGAGAGAGAGCAATAAAACTTAATTTTTCTTGGAAAATTTGGTGTCCTTTTGTCACTTTTTTTTTGGTATATGGGATAGACAAGGCTTCATACTCACTGATTTTGGCCCAAAAACTTTGGTTTAGAATGTTTTGGAGACCAGTGGGGAAAGTAGTCCCAAGTGGTGTGATCAGGTTGATTTCTGGAGATTAGAGGTAAAAGGTCAGGTTTCCGTCTGTTTGTGGCCATTTAAAGTTTAAAGAGCTGTATTAAAAATGGTAGAATCTGGCTTGTGGACAATCAGGAGGTGGGCTATCCTGTCAAGGTCAGTTACCATGACTTTTTTTATCCCAGAGGTGAGATTTTAACACCTTTTTGGGGGTTATTTGTATAGAATTCCGCAGTAGAAAGTATTGGTATTGCATGCCCTTACCCCTACCCCTCCCCAACGTCCCACCCTCATTTTCCTGAATAAAGAATAGGTTCACATAAAGTTCACGACATGCTGACGTGTTGATACATGTTCACCAGCATGGCCCTGTTGACAGCAAACAGTCTTTCCTCGGGGTAGGTTATCAAGAATGCAGTCCGACAGGATTACAGATGGTTGACTTGTTTTGTCCTACGGACAAGATAGAGCTAGAGGTACATCAATTAGCATAAAATTCAAGTAGGCGAAGGTTTCTAACATCAAACAACCCGTTAAACTTCGACTCTTATTTCCAATAAGGTTAAAATTAACGAAGCCAAGACACGGCTTAAGATTGATATGAAAAGAACATATCCAAGATGTTGATAGCAAAAGTTTTATCACAAGTCAACATACAAAAAGAACCTATCCAAGGTGTTGATAGCAGAAGTTTTATTACAAGTCTAATGATGGTCTTTCATACTGTCCTCCCGACTCCTAGGTACAATTTTTTATTACCTTCGTGTAGGGAGGTATGGCTTTCTATTTGTGTGTTTGCTTGTGCCTCCGTAGTTATTCTCTTGCTGTGCACTTCGGCAAAACTAAAAGAACGTTACTCGTTAGGTCAAATAATGCCCCATAAATATGCTAGACACTTATCTCCATCCAGTGGAAAAAATGCACAGACGAGAAATTTTAAAAAAGGGTAAATATTACACGTAGGTGTAAGATCGTTTATTTTTTGTTATCTGGGAAAAACAATTTGTGTACAGGTGTTTTGGTGACGTGAAACATACGATTTATAGAGTTTGGCCTAAAACACTGCCAACACCACCTGTCCTGCTGAATCCCAGTGAAAGACAGGCATGCTAAATAATGTAAACAGTGAGACGAGGAACAAAATAACTTGTAAACATCCATGCAGAACGCGCGGCAAACCTTGGCTTACTTTGGAAATTAATTCAGCTTAAATGTAAAATTCTTCTTGGACATTTCTGATTTTCATGTAGCAGTGGGTCACACCTAGGCTGTATAAACGGTTGATTTTCAGGTTACTTGGTGCAATGGTGTATATTTGGTAGGCACTGGGGCGTAAACATGCCCCTGGTGGGTTACCAATGAGAAGAACTGACAAACATAAACAATGAACTTTCCCGTGACGACACAGGGAAGTAGCTTCGAGTAAGAGTCGTTTCCTCGGCACCTGGACAGCGACTGGGAAGGTTACCGCTCGGAGTCGCTCAAATGAACTATTCCTCGACATATCTGCACGTAAAGACGTGAATTGGGCACCAAAGGTAGCATGAAGACCGCCCGGGAAGCCCCGGTGTGCGATAAGCGCCAGGGGCTGACGGTTGTCTTTTTTCTGGTCTGCCTTACACCAACTATAACAGGTGAGTGTGGTTTTTAGTTTCCTTGTTGATCGCTCAGTGTATAGGCGCCCAAAACAAGTATCGCAAAAAAACATTCCCTATTCAAATTAAGTTGTTATCCAAGCCTACTCAACTAGCTATACGTATCCTATCATCCCTAGGTAAGATATGTACAGGTTCATGCAATTTATATATAGTAAATAGGAAATGTTTTAGGTTTTCAGAATTCAATGCAGATCCCTGACAGTGCTATTGGCTGTGACGCAGATAGCTGGTTTCTAGTAGCTAATACAGGTGCTCTCTTTCTCTCAGTCTCTCTCTCTCTTTGTCCCTAGTTCCTTTCTGTATGTTTTCGATCGACCTCGAGGCGTGCTGGAGACGAAGCATAACCTCTTGTTCGTTAGTAAGCAAAATACGGCTTCTATGTTGCTCTTTTTTAGAACTTTGTAACTAATATAGTTAAGTCTTATTTCCCATGCCAACGGCTACATCTATGTAGCGAACCTCCCTCAGCTACACTGTATGGCACCGCTTTGGCTTCTGTTCCTTCTGTTATATACTAAGCGTCCATATATAACCTACAACTTGTCAGATGATACTTCCATTCGTAATGCAACAAGAAAACTCTACACCAAAGCTAAGTCTTAAGGCCGTAAATTCAGCAATTCTGCAACAGAGATGAACCGCATCCTTTTTATGTCCCATTGTTCATCTACTTGTTGTTAGCAGCTGTGGTTTAGACAGTGCTGGTGTGCTGCAACGTTTTGAGGTAGCATACCGTGACGCTCTCAAAATGCTAATGAACCAGCCTAGGTGGTGTAGCAAGTATGTTAGCATTACGTATCGACACCTTCGACGCCAGGTGGCGCAATCTCTCCAATCCATTTGTCACGCAACTTCTCGCATCGAGAAGCAGCACTGTGTACATCGTTTGCGATTCAGATGTGTTTATTCGAAGCCTGTACTGGCCGCACTTTTTACCTTCGCCAAGAAGGTTATGTTTTCAGTAGCGTTTGTCTGTGTGTGTGTGTGTGTGTGTGTGTGTATGTGTGTGTTTGTGTGTGTGTGTGTGTGTGTGTGTGGTTTAGCAAGATAACTCGAGAAGCAGTGGATGGATTGAAATGAAACTTGGTAGGTGGGTAGGTCTTCATGAGACCTAGAAATGATTAGATTTTGGGCCACCTGGCGGCTTTCCTAAGTACTGCAGCTAAACTTCCGGTTTTGATATCTCGTGATCTGGACATGCTAGGGTCACGACTTTTGGTTGGTAGATAGCTCTTGGGGTAGGGAAGAAGTGACATGAGTTTGGGTCCCCTAGCGCCTTGTTCTAAAACTGCAGGAGCATTTGTTGAAAGAAAATTAAAAGGACGATAAGTCAAGAACAGGTTGACGTTTTGTCGTGATTTTTGGTATGTAGGTAGTTGAAGTGATTCTTGACATAATCAAATGGCAATTATGCAAATCAGGAACTAATTTACATAATTAATGAGGAAATTCTATAAATCTGCTTTGTTCGATAATAGAACTATGAAACACTTGAGAACGAGAAAAACATCTGAGGATATAGATTATGTAAATGAGGACCTAATTTGCATAATTAATGGCAAATTCTCATAATTCCAAAGTTGTAACTGCTGCACCCCGAATTTCATACTTGCCACATTTGGAAGTTAAGTGAAGGTGAACATCAATAAACATAATTTATTCAAATAATGACCTCATTTGCATAATTTATGAGAAAGTGCTATAATAGCTTATTTGTTAAGGCTGTCATTGGATGAAGAATATGATCAACTGATATAATCCATGCAAATGAGGCTCTTATTTACAAAATCAATGATTAAAATTGTATAATTCGTCACCCGCAAGGGTTAACATCATTTGGCGAAGGTATGAGATCGTGGAACTCTTGTTAAACCTTTGTATGTAATTTGTCTACGTGTATTTGTACATTTGTTATTGCTCCTTTTTTATATGGTCTGAAACAAAGAATAAAATAAAGCTGCAGAAATT